TGCTCCTGCTCATTTTCTGAGGACGTCCCGAGCGAAAACGTCATTTTTAACATAAGAGGTTGTAAAACACCTCTGTCGGCATCTCATTTTTTCGAGGATGTCTCGAGCGAAACGCTCATTTTTCATGCATAACAAAAAATTTTGATATTTTTCAACATCCCGATGTTTTGAGGATGTCTCGAGCGAAACCGTCATTGTTAACATAAGACGTCTTAAACGATAGCCTCCAACACCTCGATTTTTCGAGGATGTCTCGAGCGAAATGGCCATTTTGGGGAATCCGCCAACGAAAACTCCCGTGCAGCCCGGCAACCCATATAGTTAAAGAAAAGATATATTTACTCAAGGATTCAGCCAGAACGTCCCGCTTGCTTCTCGTACCTCGAAGACGCTTCCCGTCATCCGCCAGCGAGTTCCCCGGTGCGGCGCGCACCCCTTAGTTAGAGAAAATTGAGCCCCAGAACCAACGGTGCACGCCGGAGGCGCTTCCCGTCATCCGCCAACGAGTTTCGGGATGGAGCCCGTACCCCTTAGTTAGAGAAAATTAAGCCCCAGAACCAACGGTGCACGCCGGAGGCGCTTCCCGTCATCCGCCAACGAAAAATGGGAGCCTTTGGGGGTGCTTAATTCCCCAGAACCAACGGTACACGCCGGAGGCGCTTCCCGTCACCAGGGGAGGCAGGACGGTCCCAGCAGGTCGGAGGCCGTCTTGAGGGCAGCCTGGGCCGTCTTGGGGTCTCCGTGGGCCGTCTTGGGGCTCTCCGTGGGCCGTCTTGGGGGCCCCCTGGGGGCCGTTTGGGGTCTCTTGGGGCCCTCCGTGGGCCGTCTTGGAGCCCTCCGGGGGCGACTCCAAGAGGATGTCGGTTCGGAGCCCCCTCCGAGCGAACCTGACCGGACAAGAACGGGAAGCGCAGTTTTTTATCCACCACGTGCGTCAGAGACCGTATTGGCGAGAACGTCAGAGAACATCCCTGTTGCGTTTCCTGGCTTCGGCGCCGTCTTGGAGGTATCTTGGACGCTCTTGGGGCTGTCGTAGCCTCTGGCCTCTCGGGGGCCTCTTGGGGGAGTCCCGGGGGGGGCCTTCGGGGGCTCTATGGGGCGATATGAAGCTCTCAGGGAACTCCTGGAGCCTTTTCGCGCGTTCTGGGGGACTTCTGGCCGCCTCTTTGGAGCCCCTGGGGGGCTTCTTGGGGGTCTCTTGGGGCGTTTTGGGCGCTCTGGCGGGCCTCTGGCCGCCCCTTGGGGGCCTCTTGGGGGTCTCTTGGGGCGCTCGGGGGGTCCTCTGGGGGGCCTTCGGGCGAAACGGCCAAAAACAGAAATCCGCCAACGAAAAATGGGAGCCTTTGGGGGTGCTTAACCTGACCGGACAAGAACGGGAAGCGCAGTTTTTTATCCACCACGTGCGTCAGAGACCGTATTGGCGAGAACGTCAGAGAACATCCCTGTTGCGTTTCCTGGCTTCGGCGCCGTCTTGGAGGTATCTTGGACGCTCTTGGGGCTGTCGTAGCCTCTGGCCTCTCGGGGGCCTCTTGGGGGAGTCCCGGGGGGGGCCTTCGGGGGCTCTATGGGGCGATATGAAGCTCTCAGGGAACTCCTGGAGCCTTTTCGCGCGTTCTGGGGGACTTCTGGCCGCCTCTTTGGAGCCCCTGGGGGGCTTCTTGGGGGTCTCTTGGGGCGTTTTGGGCGCTCTGGCGGGCCTCTGGCCGCCCCTTGGGGGCCTCTTGGGGGTCTCTTGGGGCGCTCTGGGGGTCCTCTGGGGGGCCTTCGGGGGCTTTCTTGGGCCGTTTGGAGGCCCTCCGGGAGCGATTCCAAGATAATGCTGCTTCGGAGTCCCCTCCGGAGCCGATTTTTTGAGGACGTCCCGAGCGAAACGGCCAATTTTCCGGAACACGGCAGACCACACAGGAGCACGGCAGACCACACAGGACACGGCAGACCCCACGGGAGCACGGCAGACCACACAGGAGCACGGCAAACCACACAAGAGCACGGCAGACCATACAGGAGCACGCCAGACCATTTTGGGGAATCCGTTAACGAAAAATCCCGTGCAGCGCGGCAACCCATATAGTTAAAGAAAAGATATATTTACTCAAGGATTCAGCCAGAACGTCCCGCTTGCTTGTCGTACCTCGAAGACGCTTCCCGTCATCCGCCAACGAGTTTCGGGATGGAGCCCGTACCCCTTAGTTAGAGAACCGCCAACGAGTTTCGGGATGGAGCCCGTACCCCTTAGTTAGAGAATCTCTCTCCCTCTCTATCTCTCTATGTCTCTCTCTTTCTCTGGCTTTAAGCCCCCAAAGCTTCAGCTTCAGCACGGCAGACCAGAACAGCAGACCCGCACGGCAGACCAGCACAACACACCGACACGGCAGACGAGCACGGCAGTCCGGCACGGCAGACCAGCACGGCAGACCAGCACGGCAGCCCATAGGAACATAGCAGACCAGATCATGTCATTGACGCTGCTGTTGTTGGTGATGATCATGTTGCTGCTGATGGTGATGGTGATGCGTACGATGATGATAATGATGATGATGAGGAGGAGGAGGAGGATGATGATGAGTATGAGTATGAGTATGATGTGATGATGATGATGATGATGATGATGATGATGATGATGAGGATGATGATGATGATGGACTTCTCGGGGTGTGCTTGGGAGATGTTGGGGTCCTCTGGAGAGCCTTTGGACTAGCAGTTTAAATCTGCGTAGCCGTTGTAACCCGACTCTCGTTTTCTTCATCGGTCTGACCGGTTTATCAGCTTACACGGCACAGCGCAGCAACACGACAGACGGCAGCAGCACGGCAGACCAGGAAGGCAGACCACAGGAGCACGGCAGACCAGAACGGCAGACCAGAACGGCAGACCGCAGGAGCACGGCAGAGCAGCACAGCTGACCACAGGAGAACGGCAGACCAGCACAGCGTTGTTGCAGCAGACGGTGCTGATACACTCTTAATTTATTGAACACGTCCCCAGCGAAATCGTCATGGTCGGCCGTATTGAGGGCACTCTGCGGGTCATCTTTGGGCCGATTTTGTTTTTGGGGGGCCGTACTGATGCCCTCAAAAACGATTCCAAGACGACGTTAGACTCATTGTTTGTTTGATGATTGTTCGGCCGTCTTGAGGGCACTCTTAGGGCATAGTCTGCCGTGCTCCTCGTCTTGGTCTGCCGTGCTCCTCGTCTTGGTCATCCTTTCCGTCGTCTTGAGGGCGCTCTTGGTGCCTGGTCTGCCGTGCTCCTCGTCTTGGTCTGCCGTGCTCCTCTCGGTTTCAGTGCCTGGTCTGCCGTGCTCCTCGTCTTGGTCTGCCGTGCTCCTCTCGGTTCCTGCGCGCGGTCTGCCGTGCTCCTGTGGGGAGCACGGCAGACCACAGGAGCACGGCAGACCACACAGGAGCACGGCAGACCACACCTCGATTTTTTGAGGGTGTCTCGAGCGAAATGGCCATTTTGGGGAATCCGCCAACGAAAAATCCCGTGCGGCGCGGCAACCCATAGATATAAAGATATATATATATATATATATATATATTTACTCAAGGATTCAGCCAGAACGTCCCGCTTGCTTCTCGTACCTCGAAGACGCTTCCCGTCATTCTCCAGAACCAACGGTATGCGCGCGGCTTGAAGAGGTCCTTGCGGGCTCAGACGGCATGCCCAAATCCGCCGCCGCGCTTGTGCGGCATTGGTTTGTTCAGTGAACGTGGTTTGGGTCGCGGGTGGGTCGCGGGCTCTCCACCTCCACCTGGAAGGAATGCAAAAGCAGCCCGCCGCAGGCGCCAAAAAAATTGGTTTGTACACTGACCGTGGTTTGGGACGCGGGTGGGCCGCGGGTTCTCCACCGGGAACGAATGCAAAAGATGCCCGCCGCAGGCGCCGAAAAATGTGGTTTGTACCCTCAACGTGGTCGCGGGTGGGCCGCGGGCTCTCCACCTGAAACGAATACATAAGATGCCCGCCGCAGGTGCCGAAAAATGTGGTTTGTACCCTGAACGCGGTTTGGGTCGAAGGTGGGTCGCGGGTGGGTCGCGGGGTGGGTCGCGGGTGGGTCGCCGGTGGGTCGCGGGTGGGTCGCGGGTGGGTCGCGGTGGGTCGCGGGGTGGGCCGCGGGCGGGTCGCGGGGTGGGTCGCGGGTTGGGTCGCGGGGTTGGTCGCGGGGTGGGTCGCGGGGTGGGTCGCGGCGTGGGTCGCGGGTGGGTCGCGGGTGGGTCGCGGGTGGGTCGCGGGGTGGGTCGCGGGTTGGGTCGCGGGTGGGTCGCGGGGCGGGTTGCGGGTGGGACGACGACAACAAACAACAAAAAACAACAACGATAATCCGCACCGCGGAATTCCACTCCAGCCACGCACCCAGGGACAGTGAATGACCGTTCGCCCCCCTCACTCTGATTTATTAGGAAACGTGGAGCAATGGTTTTCTATAGTACCGGGTGTTCTACCAGGCTGTGGTGGAGGTACATCATGCCATTCAAGTGTTCATCGGTATTCGTCATCATAGTCACGAGCTCGGACGCTGCGTTTTATGACCTAGATTGAGATGTTGTGCTACGCCACGCTTGGATTTACCCTGCTGTGTTATATGCTCGATTGTTGGTATGTTACATTATGCTACGATATTCGATTGGGTGCGATTTCAGTATGCTCACAGAGGTAGCCTGGCGTGCGATACTATATTTTGCATGTTTGTGCACGCTGGTGCATTTCAACATCCCCTATGAGTTCGGCAGCGCCAAGCTATTCACTCTTATGCCTCATAAGTGCCGTCGAGTTGTCTCAACGCTACGCGCTACTGCTGCATGCAAGCAACATTGGTTGATGACCTCTGTGGCTGCATTACACATGCGAGGGTATTCGGTCCTTTGGCTTAGGGAGCACCTCGTATTCTGACCACGCGTGCCACAATTGCAGGTGCAAAGAGGGAGTGCCTTTCTGCACACAGACTTTCTCTACCATTTGTTCCATCCCCCCCTTGCTTCGGCTCCTCCCCATTGCAGGGTACTGCCTCCGAGCCAGAAGCGCCAGAACCTCGGCGGCGACTGGCGGCTCGCAGCGTCCGACGCTGGGGACCTGCTGGTGCAGTTTGGCTCTGGACCCTGGGCGGGTGAGCAGCCGCAAGATGAGAGCATGGGTCAATGGCACCAGGAACTCGTTTTCCTGGGTTTGGGAACACTGGCGTCTGCCAGTCAGCAGGCCAAGGGTGTGGATGCGCACATGGAAATCATCTGCGAGCAACAACGCGCTGTGGTTTACGCAGTGTGTATGTTGCGAGCTTTGATTTGCAACGCTATGATCTGAACATGCATATGCAACGTGGGGTGTGCGTTCTGGCTTCTTCATCCCGAACTGGAAATCTCAGGTGCGAAGACTGAGCTAGCAATGGAGTACATGCAATCTGGACACAGGGCAGAACCTGAAGAGGATTACACTCGTGAGGACGCGAGGACAGGGCCCGAGCTGGGCTGGAGCTGGCGCTGGAACCAGACATTGAGCTGAGCTGGAGCTGGAGATGAACCTGGGCGGGCTGGAGCTGAAGCTGGGCAGAAGCTCACTTGGAGCTGGATGCAGCTGTGGCTGGATCGAAGCTAGAGCTGATGACGTCGGAGCTGACGCTGAAGCTCGAGCTGCGAAGGGGCTCGGCTGGAGCTGCGGCCGGAGCTAGAGCGAAGCTGGCTGTGAGGCTGGACTCTGGGCTGAAACGAAGCTTGGGGTGCACTTGAACAACCTGTGGCTGGTGATGGAGCTGGAGTTAGAGTTGAGCAGGGGCTGTGATAGAGCTAAAGATGGGCTGCAGCCAGAGCTGTGACGGAGCTGGACTGGCGCTGCAGCCTGGGCTTGGGCTGGAAATGGGGCTGGAGCTGGAAGTGTGCCAGACCTGAAAGCTGGAGCTGGAGAATGAGAGCACTGAGAGCACCACCCTGGACGTTCACACCATGAAGAGCGCAAGACTCTAGAGGGTTGGCTCCAGACGTGCAAGCCAGGGAGAGGAGTTTTGGCAACACGAAGAACGCCAGGCGCCGGGCGGCTGCCTCCAGATTGCGAAAGAAATCCCAATGGTAGAGTTCTGGCAGCACGGAGACTCGAAGAAGCGGCCAGTTGCGACAGCGGGCGCGGGAACGGAGTTCTGGCAGCACGGCGAGCCGGCTGGCCCCGCCGTAAGTGATGCCGATCGGGCGCGGGAGCGTGTAGAGTTCTGGCAGCACGGCGAGCGGTGCCCTTGCGAGCCACTCGGAAGGCCAGAGTCGGGCCCGGCGTGGGGTTTTGGTTGCACCGGGAGTCCGGCCTCAATCTTATGTCTAAGAACGACAAGCTACATGAACATAAACCCGCGCTGGGGGCTCCCCGTCGGTGCCTCCGGCTCCGCCCTTGGCGCGCTTCGCCCGCCAGAGAGGGCTCGAAGAAATTCGCCCTAACCTCCGAAAGCTTTTGTTTATGCTGTTGTTTGTTCCCTTACGTATGTCAACGGTCAGAGCATTCCGAGACAGCCTTGGTCATGCAAGGGGAGGAGGAAGATTGCGTGGCTGAAGGCATGCCGAGTGCATGGTTGAAGGCATGGGAGTGAAACCGAATAGATCATCCCAAATTGCATGTTGTGACGCATGCGAATATCCGGCAGCAACTACATTCACGCAGTTAGACACGGATTTGGCCCTGTGGAGCCATTATGCATACCGTTGGAGACGTACCTGCAAGCAGATAATAGTGATGATGATGAGGAGGAGGAGAAGGAGGAGGAGGAGGATGCGGTTGAGGATGAGGATGAGGATGATGATGATGATGCTGATGATGATGATGATGATGATGATGATGATGATGATGATGATGATGATGATGATGATGATGATGATGATGATTATGCTGATGATGATGATGATGCTGCTGCTGATGATGATGATGCCAATGCTGATGCTGTTGTTGACGCTGATGCTGATGCTGATCCTTATGATGCTGATGAGGAGGAGGAGGAGGGAGAGGAGGAGGAGGGAGAGGAGGAGGAGGGGGAGGAGGGGGATAATGATGAGGATGAGGATGAGTATGATGATGATCATGCTAATGCTGCTGATGATGAAGATGAGGACGAGGAGGAGGACGAGGATGCCGATGCGGATGCGGATGCGGATGCTGCTAATGGTGATGTTGATGCCGATGCTGAGGCTGATGAGGAGGAGCTCCATGATGAGGATGCAGAGGATAATGAGCAGGAGGAGGAGTCTGATGATGCTGATGATGCTGATGATGATGATGCTTCTCATGATGATGATGATGATGATGATGATGATGATGATGATGATGATGATGATGATGATGATGGTGGTGGTGGTGGTGGTGGTGGTGGTGGTGGTGGTGATGATGATGATGATATTGCTGTTCGTTTACTCCCATGAGCCAGATTTCATATGGCTTTGGAGATTTTGTTTGGAATGTTTCCTGGGAAAGTGTGGCGTAGGCAGTGTTCCAGCATCCAGCCTTGCTCGAGCGTTCGTGAGTAGGGAATTGCAAAACAAGACGGGGAAGAGACAGGCGATGCTCCGAACGTTCAACAGGCTTTGCGCCCTACGAACGCGTGTCATGACGAGTCTGGCCCAGCGGGTGTAATTATATAGCCATAGTCTGGCCACCATGAGGGTCGTATCTGGCGTGTGCCTCCATACTTGCCGATGGCTTCGACCTAGCAGGCGCTCCACATTCTGACCACACTGAGTGGAGTGGAGTGGAGTGGAGTGGAGTGGGTGGTTGCACCCCTGTGCATACCGAAGCCTCCGATCGAGCAGGCTCGGCACTGTCTAGCCACCACGCAGGGCTTTGCAGGGCGGGTGGACCCCCCTGCGTGCCGATGTTTGTGGCCTTGCCGGCGTATTACGATCTAACGGCGTGACATGTTTTGATTCGGTTTGGATTTCCAGCCAGCCCAGGTGACGGAAAGAGCAAGGTACGAGCAATGTACATTGAGTTGGGCGTTTGCGCCTCCCTAGGGGGAGTGCAGAGGAGGGGAGAGGCGCGGAATTCTCCGGTTAATGGCCAGCCCAGCCCGTTGTCCTAGTATTTTGTTCGAGTGAAGCGGCTCCAGGGCGGCTCCCATGGCACGTTTCCTAATATTGTTTCGAGTGACGCGGCCCACGGGCCCCAAGACGGCCCAAGAGGGCCCCAAAACGGCCCAAGAGTGCACCAAGACGGCCCCAAGAGAGCCACAGATGGCTTCCAGAAGGTCCAAGAGAGCTTCAAGACGGCTCCAGAGGCCCTTCAGAGGCTCTGAGAGGGCCCCCAGGGGAAAAAGACATTGATGTTGCTATGGCTTTTCCAGGTTTGGGGGGTTCTTGCTTTTCCGGGCCAAGAACGGTCCAAAACGGCTCAAGAGGCTCCAAAGACGGCCCAAGAGGCCCCCCAAAGGGCCCGAAAACGGTCCCAGGGGGAGAGGGGTCCAAAACGGCCCCAGAGGGCCCCAAGACGGCCCAAGAGGGCCCCAACACGGCCCCACGAGAGCCCCAAGAGGCCCAAAGAGGGCCCAAAGAGGCACCCAAACGGGCCCTAAGATACCCCCTAGAGAGCTCCAAGACGGCTAAAGGCTTCCAAGACGCCCCCAGACGGCTCAAAAGGGCCCTAGGGCGGCCCAAAATTGGCCCACAAGGGCTCCAAAAGCGCTCCACACGGGTCCCCAGAAGACCCCCAAGAGGCCCAAGAGACGCTCAAGGACACCATGGCTCCCATCAGCGAGCGGGGACGTAACAAGCTCTTGACACCTCCCCAGAGCGCGGTGACGTAGAAAGCTCGTCACACCAAGGCTCCCAAGAGCGAGCGGCAACGTAAAAGTCTCTGAACACCAGGGCTGCCAACGGAGACGGCGACGTAAGATGCTCTTCACACCAAGGCTCCCAAGAGCGAAGGGTGCCATGAGCCCTCTCGTGCAAGTTCCTGAGGCGCTCTTTCCGTTTCCGTGCCGGCCCAGGTATGTAGAGCCCTGTGTAAGTGTTTACAAAGTTTGCGAACTTGAATATAGTTCATCTCACCTTCTATGTCATTAGTTTCAATCGCGGTTGAAATTCCCCATTTGGTTCTGCTAGTGAGGAAAGGTTTGCATGGAATTATTGTGTGTGGAGTCTGGGAAGAGGCACATGTTGCACTTGTGGGCGCAGCGTCTAGGATGATGGTCATAACAAGTTCGTGCCTCAAACGCGTGCTGTTACATGATATGACGAGTAGCTACTCCCCAATGTTGGATGAGGGCAGGCTTGCACGGCATGCCGTTCACAGCGGTTAGCGACATGTGGCTGAGCCTCAGGCCGAGCCAGAAGGAGTCCCGGACCACAGAGGCTGCCTCCTCATCTAGCGTCTCCGTCTTTTCTGAGCGTCTCGGTCATCCCGCCAGCCCATACCCCATCACGGTTGGCATTTGCTTGCAGGCTCGCGGGGGTTCAGAGGGTTTTGGTTCCTTCGTGGAAGTCTTTTGGGACAATACTGGGGCGCCCTGGAGCTCTGAGCAAGCGGAAAGAAGATAATACATTGAGAGACTTGAGGTTTTTGAAAGGGTTTGGGCCTGCTGGAGGCGTCGTTGGGGCTGTCTGAAACCATTTTGGGCCGCCTCGGGGCTATGTCGGGGCATCTTGCAGCTGCGCTGGGGGCATATTGGAGTTGTTTCGGGGCCGTCTTGTGGCCTGCCGCCTAATGCCCGTTCTGGGAGCTCTCCTGGGCCCCTACTGGGGCGCTCCTGGGGGTCTTCGGAGGCTCTTGGAGCCATTCTGGGCCCCACTTGCAGAAACATTGGGCGTGCTTGGAGCTTGAGGCCGAGAGTCCCACAGGAAGCGAAATTGGAGAAAGTTAATATCAGTGAACTACGTTTGAGATGTGAACGCAAATCTGCCTCTTGGTGCTCGTGGTGCTCTCTTGGGGGTTACTTTCGACCATCTCTGACCACCTCGTGGATGTCTTAGATTTTCTTGGGAGCACACTGAAGCTTGCCACCCATTGATCCCTCTTGGGCCGCTCTTGGGCTCTACTGGATCATCTTGAAGCGCTCGGGAGGACTCCAAGAACGCGCCAAGGAGCGTAACCATCTCTGGCCCAGCCTTGCCAGTGATTGCCCGGAGGTATCTTGGGTCCTTGTTAGCCGGAAATTCACCAGGGGGTTCTTAAGATTTCACAGGGTAGTGTTTCTCTCGTGACCCCCCCCCCTGAGCCGCCACGCGCGCGCGAATCAAGACATACCAGCATTTTGTGAACCTCTTACCAGAGCTTTCAGCACGCCTTTGGCCCGCTGAGCCGGCCAATTGGGACTCTCTCCCCCGCCCGACCTCGCTCCTTGGCTCCCCTCTCGCCACCCCTCCTCCCCGTCTCCCGTTTCCACGCGCCGTGGTCACGGCGGCAACGACGACGGCGGCGACGGCGACGACGTTCTGCGGGCACTTGCAAATCCTGCCCCTGCGGGGCCCACTGGATGCTGGGTATCGGACACCCCCGCTGGGATTCACTCGGCTGCAGAGCACATCCGTCAAAAATTCTGCACCCGGGCCGGTTTCTCAGAGGCCCGGTTTGCAGGGGAGGGGCTCACGCGCGGTCGTTTATGGCAGTGGGCGACGGCGGCGGCGGCTGCGACGCTCGGGCCCCCGGAGATCCTCCAGATGGGGCCCTCCAAGATCACCAACATGCTCAAGGGCGAGCTCTCCCTGGGGGCCGTTGGCGAGGAGGAGGCGCGCGGCTTCTGTGCTGAGGGCACCAGCGTGGTCGGAGCGTCGTCGTCGTCGTCGGAGCGTTGTCGTCGATGTCGGTAGAGGCCGTTTGGATCCACAGTTCCTCCTTCACTTATCGAATCGTTGCACTGACAGTGTGCACGTTTTTTGTACACTGTGCCTTAGACAATGTTCGATCGCCATTCGCACTTCCGTCTGCTGCTCGCGCCTGAGGATCCTCTGCGCCGCCGGCTTACAGGGGGCACCCATGTGAGCGGAAGACCGACTCGGGTGAGCTGGCCCGAAGGCGTTTCACGGTGCACCCACAGCCGAAGCCGAAGCCAAAATCGAAGTGCACAGGACAGGGAAAGGGCGCACCCTGCAGGTTTGGGTGACAGCTCATCGTTGAGCGGTACTGCAGCCCCCCCTGGGCACAGCCCACCCCCAGAGCACTGGCCAGACAAGTCGGGTTTGCACCCTCATGCCTTACTGGTTTCTCGGCGCGCTTCGGCACTGTCAATGCCGCCGCCACCCTGCATGGCGATGGATGAGAGGAGAGTGTTTTATTACATCTATCTATATGTGAGGAATCCAAGGAATCCGCGCGGAGCGTCGAAGGTTTATGCTTACGCTTTCTAAAAATTGGAGTTCCGCGCGGCTTTCTCGGATCGGCGCCTGGCCCCGAGTTCCTGCCTGAACCTTTGTCCACACGCGCCTCTGCATTCAGATTCCGATTGACACATGTTGCTGTACAGGACTGCTGCGCAGATCTCGCCAGAAATCCGGGTGTATCGAATTTGGAATCCGATGTGTTTCAGTGTGGTTGTTTAGGGTATTGAGTTTTCTGGGGATGGCCTTGGGGCCTATGAGCGCCCAACAGACAAGAATAAACTAAGCCATAACGGCTACGGACATGCACCGATCAGAGCATGCCAATTGCATACCCGCCGTTCGTTGAAAGTAGGTAATTTGGGATTATTCTATTTTCAGCGCCATCCTGCTTCAAGAGTCGAGCGATTGTCCCTTTGCCCTCCTCTGCAGGGGGCTAGCTGAATGCCAATCTACTGAAGACACCTTCCTACTTCATGGTTCTACTCACTTCTTCCCACTGACTGGTAAACATAACTTTTCGAGCTCCGATAAATTATGTTTATGCTGTGTGTTGTTTCCCCCTGAACGCCGCCAGACGCAGACTCGGCCAATCTGATGTTTGGGGTCCTCTTGGGTCGTCTTGGGGCTGGGGGCTCTCAGAGGCCATGTTGGCTCGCCCTCTGGGGCGTTCCTGGGCCGTCTCGAGACCCCTTGGGCTGCCTTAGAGCTCCTTCGGGGCGCCCCTGGATGTGTACTGCAAGTTCGCGTCGTGTCGACCTGGCGGCGACCCCGCCGCGGGCTTTCGAAGTTGAACGCCGCCCATGGCGCAGCATCAGCCAGCTTGGAAAAACTCTGTTCTCACGATCTCGTGAGTCGTCCGTCTGAAAAGGTTGAGCGGTTTTGCGATACCAGAGGGTCGTTCGCGTGATTATGTGATGCGAGAGGGTCGCTCGTATAAGGTAGGCGGCTCTTACGACAGCTGCTCTTACGACAACGTGAGTCGATCTTGTGATTCGTGTCGGACCCGCCCCCCCAGGGGGAGAGTTTAGGGCCCTTGTGAGAGTGTGCTGGGCCCCGCAGTGGCGGGGTTTTGGGCCCCACACTGACAGGATTTAGGGCCCCACGGCGAGAGGGCTTTGGGCCCCCCCTTGTGAAACGGTTACAGGGATTGCTCAAAGTTGAACGGTCCACACGGCATCAGAAGCCAACGTCGGGGTCGGCATGACACGAACCTGCCGTGAAGGCATCGGGCTGCCCCCCCCCCAGGCCCCCCAGGTGGGCCCGGCTGTCCAAAACAGGCCCCCCGAGCAGCCCCTTGTAGGCACAAAAGTCCAGAGGGGGCATGCTCCTCGGGGGAGCGCATCGCCCCCCCAGTCCAGTCGCCCAGGCATCGCCGACAGGGGCCCGATGGCCCACCCCGCCCAGGATCGTGCGGCTTCGCCATCGGGGGCCCCTCGCCGATCTGTCGGCGATGTACCGCCGATTCTGGCTCAGGGCTTCATCTCGGGCCGAGCGAAAGGGGGGGGATAGGGAAGGGGGGGTTTACGGAATCTGCTGCATGCAGTTGGTTTCGGCCCCGCCGCCGGGCCCATTCCACGATGCATGGGCGCCTCCCGGCGCCCGGAGGCGCCGGGAAAATCAGCTGCGCGAGCTGATCCTCAAACCCCCCCCCCTTTGCTATCCCCCCCTTTCGCCCGGCCCGAGCAAGGCTTCATCCCCCGAGCCGGCCCCCCTCCCCTGACGCTCCCCCATCCAGAGGTGCACGCGCACATCATTCGCGTTGCGCGAGCGGTTTGTTCCTGGCACGGGGGCAGGCGTCGTCTGCACGACTGGGCGCATGCGTCCTGCCTGCCGAGGCGGGGCCTCAGCCATCATCAAGCAGTGGCGAGGCGTCCTGGCTCGCCTATAGGCCTCTTGTGGTTTCCACGACATGATCTTAGAGCAGTTCTGGCGGGGTCTGCCTCGTTTTATCACATAGGGTTCACGTTCTAGGAACATTGCTCTTGTTCTCAGAACATTCTTGGGTTCGAAGAAGATCTCGTGGTAGGACTACAGGAGTGCCGGGACGGCCCGTCCCTGCTCAACATCACCACCGCCTCGGGGATCGTCTTCTGGGGCCCTCGGCGGGCGGTGGAGATGGAGAGATTCGGGCCCCCTGGGGCCGAGGTGTCCACACCTGCCGCCCGCTGGGGTCCCAGGGCGTCGGTCCGGGAGGCGTTGGAGATCGGCATGTCCCAACCTCGCATTCTTTTTCAGGTCAGGAGGGGAAACGACGCACAGACACACTTGATCGTCGGTTCCCACGAGAGTGTGGGACCTATGGGAAGTGGGGTGGGGGAGACGAGAGCCCAGAAAGGTTTTAAAAACATAGTGGGAATCCTGGGCTGCGTGCCTGTCTATTTGTGTGCTCCTGGGCCCCTTCCTCGGGGCTTCCCTGGCCACGTCCGCAGCTCGGTGTCCCCGGCGGCCCAGGCCCGTGGCGGCGCGCGGGGCGTGCGGCGGGAGGAGCGCGGGCGCCGCGCGGCGGCGGCGGAGAGGGCCGGGCAGACCAGCCGCAGCTGGGGAGGCGGTGGTTCTTACAGTCAACTTGGGGGGGGGGGGGGGCACTCAGAGGAGGAAAAGGTACCCATACCTCTCCCCTTCCCTTCGTTTCCCTCTTTGTGGGCCTCCTGGGCCTCCGCCGTCGCCACCGCTGGATTCGCCTCGAAGTCCTGGTCGGAACGCACCCCAAGAGAGGTCCGGGGAGTAGCGGTATCGATACTTTTTGGTTCCCCCAGGCATTGGCGTCGACGCCCCTGGCCCAGGAGGAAAAGACCCGAAGAGGCTCCCAAGAGGCTCCCAATGGGACCCCCAAGAGACGCCCCCGAGAGGCCCCGACATGCCTCCCCAGAGGCCACCGAGAGCCTTCCCAAGAGCCTCCAACAAGCATCCCTGAGGACTCTGGCCAACGTCAGCGTCGTCGTCGTCGTCGTCGCCGCCGCCGCCGTCGTCGTCGTCGTCGACGTCGTCGTCGTTTCCCTTCAGGATCGGCGGCACCGGCCTCAAGGCCTTCGCAATGATCGTCGATCCCCAGGGTTGACTGCATCCATCCTCGAGGGACAGAGGGGAGGACGTCGCGGGAGCGGGATGGTGTGCCGGGCACGTCGCGCGCCTCTCTGCGGCGACGGGCGCGGCCCGCGCGTCTGCTCCCTGCGCCTGTCACGAGTGGCGGCCACACAGTCAACCCGCACGGCGAGGGTGAGCAGCTCTCCAGGGTTGCCCTTTGCATTCTTCCCCTTCGGCCCATCCTTGGCCGCTTTCGCTGGCCGCGCCCCGCTCGCAGAGTGTCGACATGGCCCTCCAAGGCCCTTGCGTCCTTACCGCGCATGCTTATGATACGGGTTGACCGTACCACCCCAAGGGGGGGGGGTGCACTGGCGTCGAGGGAAAAACCGCACCGACGCAAAGAATTGTGTATTTCCCTGGGCAGACGAGGAACAAATGCGGGAGGTGGAGGGGGGGACGACCATCCATTTTTTTACAGCGAGTCCTGGGATTGGTGTCTACTTCTTTGTGGCCCCCTGGGCCTCTTCAGTATTGCTGGCTCCGGGCGTGTAATCTTGATGTCGGCCCCTGGGGCCCGTCATCGGGCCCCTGGGCCACCAGGGACGGATCCGGAGCGAGAGCGTTCCCCTTGCACGCCTCGTCGAAAATAGATTGGCACGCTGATCAAGGTCGGAGCGCTCGATAGTTCTGTCACTAGTCAGACAGCGCGTTCTTCAATGCTGCGAGGGCATTGCCGGATTTCGGACACTCCTGCGTCTGGGCCAAGCCTCGAGCCAGCCATGAAGTGGCGGCGGCCACACAGGCACCGAAAAAGCAGTAGTTGCCAGCTCATGTTTGACGAGCCTTGCGGGGAAGGGGTCGGGACTTTGTCAGGGCCGCGCCTGGAAAAAGTCACGGCGTCGGAGGTCTGAGATACGGTGGGTTGCCGCACGGGGGTGCGAGGAGCACAGCTCTCGCGGCTGTAGCTGGTCGTCGACGTCCTGGTTCCACGGGAGGGCCGGGGAAGAGCCTTCGGTCGGGAGCCGGTGGTGTGCCTCGGCTTGTGGCCGAGCTTGGCCCCACGATTCGTCCAAGACGTCGCTCAGATTGCGCAACGAACTCGAGGTCATAGTATGCCTGACGCGTTCGGGAGCTGACGTGGAAGCGGTTCGGGCTCGGTGCTGCCGCGAGATCGCGGGCTCTGGTCTTGGACTTTCTCGCCTATGCAAAGTGACGCCTATGCAGTTGTCGTCATCTCTTTCTGAGGGCCCACCGACGTCGGCTTGCTGTTGACACACTGTGCGCCTCGTGCCTCATGGCATCCGCTTCTTTCCCTCGACACTCTAGACCCCCGTCCGAGATTGTGATGGAATATGTCGGGATGGTCGACAACAACGGCGTCTACAAGGCGACAGGCGGACAGGGGGTCCCTGTGCCCGGAGCGTTGCCTTAAGAGTGGCGTCTAGTAGAAGCTGGTGGCACGTCGTCGCGTGATTCCCGAGGCCGAACCAGACCACCAGGTCGGTCGCCGAGGTCGCCGCGGCGGTCGCGGCGCCCACACATGGGGTCCAGGCTTCTGTCAAGGAGCGGCATGCCCTTTCCCGGCCGCCCCCCCGTTCTGCGATGTAGACCCGGCTCAGAATTAGCTATACAGCGACAGAGAGTTGTCACGCCGCGGTGCCCTTGCAGTGAACCCGCGTAATAAGGACGCACGCGAAGGAGGCAAGGGCCTTGAAGAAGGCCATGTCGGCATTTTTTGTGGGCGGGGCGCGGCCAGCGAAAGCGGCCAAGCATGGACCGAAGGGGGAGGATGCAGGGATAATCTTGGAAAGCTGCTCACCCTTACTATGCGGGACTGTATCCACCCTCGCATAGCTCGTTTAGATTCCTCCGATTCGATCCGATTCGATTTCGATTGCTCTCGAGGCCGATTCGATCCTACTTGGGATTCCGACTTGGGTTCCGATTTCTGATCGGACTTCTGTCGGTTCGACTTTTCCCGACTCGGCTGCCGATATCCGCCGATTTCCGATTCCTTTCGATCGCCGATGCGACCTGTCGATTCGATTCTGGGCAATTCCTGCCCTCGAGGGAGAGCGATGGTGTGCCAGGAGGGGTAGGCGGAGGAGGAGGAGGAGGAGGAGGAGGAGGAGGAGGAGGAGGGGGAGGAGGGGGAGGGGGAGGAGGAGGAGGAGAGGAGGAGATGAGGAGGAGGAGGATGGATGATGAGGAGAATGAGGAGGAGGGAGATGACGATGACGACGACGACGACGACGACGACGACGACGACGACGACGACGACGACGACGACGACGACGACGACGACGCGCGCCTCTCTGCGGCCGACGGGGCGCGACGCCCGCGCGTCTCGAGCTCGCCCGCTCTCCTCGCCCGGCCACGAGCGGCGGGCACGCGTGCGCACCCGCGCCGGCGCGGTCTCCGAGGAAGACGTCGTCCTCGTCCTCGTCCTCTCCCTCCTCCTCCTCCTCCTCCTCCTCCTCCTCCTCCTTCTCTTCCATCCTCCATCCTCCATCCTCCTCCTCTTTCTCCTCCTCTTCCTCCTCCTCCATCCTCCTCCTCCCTCCTCCTCCTCCTCCTCCTCCTCCTCCTCCTCCCCCTCCTCCTCCTCCTCCTTCTCCTCCTCCTCCTCCTCCGCCTGCTCCGACAGTCATGCGCAGAGCGGGGGCTAGGGGGAGGGGGGAAGGCTTCGTATCGGGGAGGCCTAAGACTCGAGTAAGCCGGAACTCGGCTTAGCCAACCTTTTGTGACGAGCGCGTCCTGGACTTTGACGGTCCCGTTTTCGTGGGATGTTTGCAGCGGGAGTTCGCGTCAAATTTCAGATTGGGTCTCGTCTTTTTCATGGTGGCCCCGTCAGGCCAACCCGAGTCCCCCGTACCCGAGTCCTACGTCTCCCCGATCTTAGAGGCATTCATGCTTCGTAGAAGGCGCTGCCCTTCTCTCTAGAGATACAGGGCTGTCGCCTGCTAAGAAGCAGCCTCCTTCTGAGGAGCCTTCCCCCCTCCCCCTTCCACCCTCTGCGCGCCGCCAAGAACTGTTGGAGCTCCGCGCGGATTTCCTGGATCGGCGCTGGGCACCTCTGGCGGCGCCGTTGGCGCCACTCCAGGCGCGTTTTCCGCGCGCCAGCAAGGTGGGTACAGCGCACATCCAAGAGATCCGCGCGGACCTTCACAAGTTTATGTTTATGCCGTTGTTTCTTCTCTGGGTCTGGATTCCGAGGCGCGATCCCGCGGATACGCGGTCGCATTGACATGTCCCGCGCAGGGCACCCGCGAACAAAAACGCTGGGTATCCGCAGGGTCGTGGCCCAGTGGCCCGGCCCGCGAGGCCGCGGATACTGATACGTATGTTTTTAGCCCACGAGCCTGAGGCGTTCATGGTGTGCCACAAGTGGAGCAGATCTTATCTGGGCAGGTCTCGTATGTTTTTAGCCCACGAGCCTGAGACGTTCATGGTGTGCCACAAGTGGAGCAGATCTTATCTGGGCAGGTCTCTGCCATCGCTGCTCTGCGGTTTGGGCGCCCTTCTCCAGTGGCGGCTCGCAGCTCTGGCGGGACGCCTGGCGGCGGCATCCTGCGGCATCCTTCTTCGACGCTGTGCCTTGAGCCGCTGGGAGCCGTCGAATGCCGATCTGGGATCGAGGGATCGGCCGGGGCCGACCCCCCCCAGATCCTACACAGTCAGCCTCCGTGCGCCGGGCTCACCAGTGTCGGGTTCGTCAGAAGTGTCCCTGGCCCAAGGTGCTGCCAGGATTTCCAAGGAGGCCTCCGCGGCCTCCAGAGCACCCCTCACGAGGCCCACAGGGCCCCAGGGGCTCCAGAATTGAGCGAAAAGCCAAGGGGCACCTTTGGGCTGGGGGCACCGTTGGCAGCCCCCGACGGTGAGGGCAGGGCGGAGTCGTCCTCGCCTCGACCGGCCCGATGACGTTCGCGCCGATGTCTGCACGGCCGCCGTCGCGCGCGCCAGGGGCGCCGCGGTCACATCGGCTCGAGAGGGCCCTCGCGTCCGCCCTGTGGGCTTCTGGGGGGCCCTCGTCGCTACGTCCGGAATCGCCTCGGGCTCTTGATCAGGGCGCACCCCTCGGGAGAGAGAGGGAGTATCAGCGACACGCTGCCGTTGGTAGCCCGTCAGCGTGTGACTCCTTCGTTTTTTGTCCGAAGGCTTGGCGCTTCTTCAAAAGTGTCACGCTGAGGGGGCCTCCACGGCGGCGTATCATTGATATTGTCTTTGCTCCCCAAACCCGTGGACAGGTCCCCAGAGACCGGGATCGTTTAGGATTAAGCCATGCACACGGCGCCAGAGGTCTAGGCCTCCCAGATGGGGTCCGAGTAGATAGGGTCGGAGGATCACACGGCATCGCCGATGCATCGAACGATGTTGCTCGATGTGGAGCCAGAAGTTCTCCATGCTGACGTCGCCTCTTGGAGATTAGTTTGGTTATCTTGGGGAGATGTTGGAGGCCTCTTGGGTTTTCTTGAAGCGTCGGGAAGCAGAGGATGCGAGAACACCAACATCGTTGGAAACATAAGGAACATCTATGATTGTTACCCCTTGGAGCCCTCTTCGGAGTGATCTTGGATGCCTCGTGGAGCGTCTTGGAGGTGGGTGCCTTGGACCGTCTGGAGACCATCTTTGGCGTCTGGAACTGACAATTCGGCGATTCGGGGCCATCTTGGACCGTCTCGGAGGCCCCTAGGGGAACTCTTGGGCCGTCTTGGTATGTTTTGGGCCCCGGGCCCCCCGGGGGGAGATAGTGTTCTGACCGGGGACCCCCCTCGACCCCTACCCCCCCCCGCGCGGGGGAAGGGGTTAAGGGGAAGGGGGCTTCTTTTCGACTCAGCTACTGGAAGAGCGTCTTCCACACGCCGACAGGGTCGGCAGATTCGATGGTAATGGCCATGCAAGAGGCGTTGCTTGCCAACAGGAAAGGGCCCTGCGAAGCTGATGCAAGTACATGTCGCAGTTTTCCGTCTGAGTGTGCACGTTTGAGGCGCGGGTGCACGTAGCGAAGGGTTTGGAGAGCAACGCAGCCCACGCGCAGTCCCGGTGGAACCACGCCACAAATGGCAACGTGAAGGTGGCCATGCCTGGTTTGTTCGACAAGCCCCCCCCCATTGCAGGATGTTGGGAGCATCGCAAGAGGATCCGCGAAAGCACGCTCAGCGCGCGTTAGTGCACAGGGCCTCGACGGGGCGCCTGGAGGAGCTGCTGCGCCTGGGGGGACCCATCCGAGAGGCTTACGCCATGCCGCCGAAGCCCAGAGGAGAATGTACGTGCACAGGCAAGGCCGCGAGGGGCCTCCCAGGATTACGCGGGGTCGTTCCAGGCGAGTCTTCGACGCGATTCAGTGCGCCTTGGCGGTTTCGCGGGCAGTCGCGGGCGGTTTTGGGGTGTTCTTTCTGGGGGGTGAACGCGAAGTGTCAGTTTGATTCGCTCCTGGTGGGCTTGTTTCGGGGGATCGGGCGTCGAGTTCGCCATCCTCTCCGCCGCCACCGTGGGCCTCGATAGAGGGCGATAGAGGCGGAAAAGACCCGAATGCGCGTTTTGTCGCCCCTGGCAAGCGGGCGTCGGCGGATCGTCGACAATGTTTCGCGGCGCATGCTGCTGTTTTTCGACGATGGATATCGCAAGTGTCCTCCCCCTCGTGTTTGCCTCGCGTCGTTCCCGCCCAGGGTCGCTCAGCCAACGCTGTCTGGCCACGCTTGTTGTTTGGCGCCCGCCCGAGGCGATGACGAAGAGCACCATCCGTTGGCGCGTTGCGAGCGGCGCGGCGACTTCGTCGGCGCGAAAGCCCGCAGTCGCGACTCGGGCGCTTCCCGCGATTGGCGGGTCGAAAGGCGCCGCTGGCCCTGCGAGGGCCACGATGACGACGTCGCACCCCGCGAGTGACGCGAAGGCGGCGCGTTGACAGAGTCTTTCGCGAAATCCCGCGCGAAGGGCCCGCGGGGCCCGCTGAGGCTTGAACGCGGTGTCTGTTCAGTTCGGGAAAGTCGAAAGACGCGGAATGCGTCTCACATTTTGCAAAAGCGCAGTGCTGTCGGCAGCGAGCGAAAGGATACCTCGTGGCCGCGGCCGCATGTCTGGCAAAATCTGGCCACGGGACGGATTCTCCGCGAACGCTCGGCCAGATACGTACTTGGGAACGGGTGCGGAAAAACGTTTTGTAGAATACCGCCGTAGGTCGCGTTTTTCGAGCCGCGCGCCCGAGTGCTGGGCAAGAGCACGTTCGAGTGCGCGAAACGCTCTTCAGGGCTAATGTGTAGCAGTCGCAGCTGAGGAAGCATGTGTAATGAAGGTGTGCCAGCGAGGTCCCTAGAGGCTACACGTGCCAGTGGCAGTCTTCGGAATAGTGGCAGTAGTGGCAGTCGTCGTTGGAATGGAAAAGGTAGCAAAATAACGAGCCGGACGACGGCGGCGACGTCGACGACGGCGTGGGGGAGGAGGGGGACGACGAGGAGGAGGAGAAGGATAAGTATTCAGGGCAGGATTGGACCGCGACGACAAATGGGGGGGCGATAATTGTGGGGGCAGCGGCTTCCGGAAACGAGCCTTGTAGGGCCCCCGGAGGGACCCTTCAGGGTCTGGAAGGGCGCCTTGGGGGCCCGAAAATGCCACATTTCCCCCCCAGCTTACGCTCCGCATCAATTCGCGCTCAAGAGGAGGGGGCGGGGCTGGGACGAATGGGAGGAGGAGGGCATCACCTCTGTTCGCGGTCCGGAGGGGACACATGCCACGCGCACGGACGATGGGCCCAGGATCCGATGAGGACGAGCTTGACCAGGATCGGCCGTGTGGTCAGCTGGCCCGAGGATGGGGACGGCCGAGATGGATACGGAAAACATGGGTACAAAAACCGACAGTTTTTCCGCTTCCCCTGTTCTCCCCCTTTTCTCCTTCTCGTCATCCGCATCCTCTTCCTTCCCCAAGGTCTGCCAGTTATGCCAGGAAGAAAGACGCTCGTTTCACAGATGCTATGCGTGGCCTGGTCATGAGCAGTTTCGGAGAGACTGCATGCCAAGGGAGATGTCCAGGTCTGTTGCCAGAATCAAGGATAGCCCTCCAGCTTGGAAGGAAAGGTTTGCGCGAGGTTTGTTTCGTGAGCCCGGCCAGCGTGTGTTTCGACCACCTTTCGATCCGAGCTTGAGGCGCTGGGTCTCGGGAGCCTTCCAGCTGCCCTACCTTCTGGAAGAAGGGTCTGCTTTCACGGATGGTTCGGGGTTGGATCAACATCACCCGGCCTTGCGTGTAGCGGGTTGGAGTGTTTTAGTCTACGATAGGGAGAGGCGCTATGTCGGCGCCACGTTCGGAGCTGTGCCACCTGAGTTCCGGATTGCGGGCACGGCCCGAGATGGAGAATATTCTGCGATGCTCATGTGTTCCCAGAGCCTTCTAGGTTTGTTTTCTGTCAGGGTCGATTGTAAAGGTACACTAAGTTGCTGTCAATCGCCCCGCATGTCCACGTCTCCATGCAACCCGCGGGCCCACCTGTGGGGCAGGTGCATTTGCGAGAGTATTGTTGTGTTCGGTCTTCTCGAGCACGTCAAGACCCACACGTCGGCCTCTGCTGGTGAGCGTGATCTGATCTCGGCGTTCGACAGACGGCAACGATGCTGCAGATAGTTTCGCGGAGAAAGGAGCGGCCCTTGCGAGAGCCGCCACGGCAGATGTTGAATTTGTCGAACGGTGCCATTTGATTGCTCGGTTTGCGCCAAAGTTTTCGGCCCAGTTGTCGGCCTCGATGGCCACGGCGGGCACCCGAGACAATGTGGGAGTTGACTACTTCAAGAAAATCGACTTGGGGTTTGTCGACTTCCAAGGTGCTGCGGTTCCAGATGTTCCTGAGGCGGAGTCCCACGTTATGGTCTTCCCTCCTCCCGAGCCTCTTGCTGATGCTCCTGCTGGGGATCCTCCAGGGCCCGCTTCAGAAGACCCCGAATGGTTTCGGGACAAAGGTGTCCAGCCCTGGCGAGTGAACGGCCACTGTATTGTTCAGAGCTCGGTGCCAGATGACGCTCCAATAATAGATCGCCCGTCCGGCTGGCAGTGCGCGACCACCCCCATGCAGCGAGGTCTCACTGGGCCTTGCAGGGGGCTCACGGACATCTCGGGTGGTCGGCGTACACCGTCAGGAAGAGGCTGCGGGAAAAAAGGTTTTCACATTGTGGCCCACCCTCAGGTGGCGCTCGGGCCTTCTGAGGCCCCGTCGGCGGAGACCAGGGGCCGTTTCTCCAGGCACGTTGGGGAGGCCCCTGTCGGGGTGGCGTCGGCGCCACGAGCGCCGAGGGTCGCCACGTTCTCGAAGCAAGCGGTGGCGCCTCGCCTTGGCATCAATTCCGTGCTGCTCGCTTTTGGCTTCAGCCCCCGGGAGGAGGCTGAGGTGCTTGGTCGACAGGTGATCCTGGACCGAGCTTTGGCCCAGGCCAGGGAGGCGGGTGCCGCGGACTCTGAGGCCGAAGGGTAAGTTTCTGGGGGGTGGGGGGGGCCCTGTCGGCTGGGCCCGTCCGAGGTGGGTCACAGCATCGGGCTGGAACAAAAAGTTTTCGTCTGATGGGCGCCCCCACCGCACTTTTCCTCTCTCTCTCTCTCTCCCCCTTGATTTTCCCTCTATGGGCGGTGACCATCCTCCTCCTCCTCCTCCTCTTCCTCTTCCTCCTCTTCCTCCCCCTCCTCCTTCTCGTCCTCATCCTCCTCCGGGGTCATCGTAGTCAAAGGGTTTTGTGCACGGAGTCAGAGACCACTCTGCACGTCGCGACCGCAGGGGCAGCCCGTGTCCATGTCCATGTCCATGTCCATTCCTTCTTCCTCCTCCTCCTCCTCCTCCTCCTCCTCCTCCTCCTCGTGCTCCCCGTCGTCCTCCTCCGCCCCCTCCTCCTCCTCCTCCTCCTCCTCCTCCTCCTCCTCCTCCTCCTCCTCCTCCTCCTCCTCCTCCTCCTCCTCCCCTCCTCCTCCTCCTCCTCCTCCTCCTCCTCCTCCTCCTCCTCCTCCTCCTCCTCCTAACCCTCCTAACCCTCCTAACCCTCCTCCTGTTCCTCCTCCTCCTCCTCCTCCTCCTCCCTGTCCTCCTCGTTCTCCTCCTCTTCCTCCTCCTCGTCCTCCTCGTCCTCCTCAGCATCATCATTTCATCCTCATCCTCATCTTCATAATCATCCTCCTTCTGCTGGTTTTGAACAGGACTCGCTGTCGGTGTCGCCGCGGGCTGTGTCCATTTGAGACAGAGGCCCGCCTGCCCGGCAGCGGCCGATGCTTGCTCAGGGCAACATTTCCTGTCGGGAAATGTACACATCTTTCCCGTACTTATTTGGGGTGTCAAAATAGGTAGGGTCGTGCGCGCGGCCAGATGAGTCGATGAAGACATAATTGCGCAAACATCAGCAGGCGGAGATCCGCGCGAAGTTCCCAGATCGGCGCTGGACCCCTCCCCGTCGCGCGGGGGGCGCCAGGGGCGTCGCTGAAGGCGCCGCGCGGCGGGGTTCAACGACGATCCGAGGAAGCCGCGCGCACCTCCGAAAGCTTATGCTTGCGCTGTGTTTTATACTGGACTGGCGCCCCTCGAAACGTGGGGCCTGCGGGCAGGAGGGCGCCTGCCGCCTCCCTGCCCAGCCCCTGCCGAGGCGGCTCCACGCGGAAGGTGACGGCCTCCCCGCTCTACGCCGGCGAGAGGAGTGGGCGCGTGGGTCCCCAGTCGGGAGCCTTGAGACGGGGGTCAGTGCAAACGGGGGTCAGCCAGAGCGCCCGATCTTGCAGGATCCTGCAGCGCCAGGGTCGCATTGACCCGGGTTTGGGTGCAGGAGTTCGTAGGATTTTGCAGGAGTTTGCAAGGCCTGACTGACCCCCGGGTCTGGATTGACCCGGGTCAGAAGGTCCCCGACCCAAGCCGCTCAGATTCGGGTCGGATGACAGGGGGGGGGGGAGAGGGAAAGGTGGGCCCAGACCTCCCCGCTGTATCTCAAACCAACAAGGAGCAGGACGGCTCCTTGTATGTTTCTGCGTTTGGGGGCTCTTTGTTGGGCCCTTGAGCCTTCAAGAGATGAGTCGGGAAACGGGGCCCGGGGAAGTCGTCAAAACCTTTTGGAACCCACGTTGTCACAAAGATGGCGACGTCGGAGGCGTGGCGGGCACGAAGCGCTGCCTGCCGTTGGTGTTGGCCCCGCCGCCGAGCGCATTTCTCTTCGCGTGGCACTCGAGGCGCCAGGGAAGCCGGTGTCGTAAGCCCGACCCTCGTTTCCCAGGAGGGAACAAAAATCACACAGACGCAATGAATCGTCGATTCCCCAGAAAATAGGGGAACATATGGGAAGTGGGGGGGAAGACCAAAACCCAGAAACTATGCGAACATATTGGGAATCCTATTACTTTGTGTGTGTGTCCCAGGGCCGCTTCAGTTTCGCCCGGCCCGATACACGTGCTTTGGGGATCGCCCCGCATCGCCGATGCATCGGCGATGCGGCTCGACGTCGTGCCCAGTTTGTCTCCGTCCCAGCGGCGCCCATGCGCCGCCGATGGATCGGCGATGCGGTGCGATCTGCCGACCCCGTGTGCTTCGGTCCCCTTTTTGGAGGCTTCCAGGGTCCGCGACCCTTGGCAAGTCTTGCCCCCGGGGGTCAGATGGACGGTGGGGTATCAGGAGGGAAAGAAACACACATAATATTTTTATGTGTGTGTGTGTATTTATTTGTGTGTCCTGGGGCCCCTTCAGGGTATTCAGGCGGGAGGGGAGCAGCATGCCGATACCGACGCCCTTCCTTCGCTCCCGCATGCGAGGATTAGTGTGGGGCGCTTGTCGCCGCAGGTGGATTCGCTCCGGGATACTGATCGGAGTGCGCCCTGGGAGAGGTCGAGGGGCAGCAGCATCGATTTGATTATGTTCCCCCATCGGCTGCATGCATCCTTGACCACCCTCTGGTGCTTTCCAAGACCTGCCCCGCAGAGGCAAGATGCACGTGCTGCTGCCCAACGGGGCCCCGGAGCGGCGCGTCGCGCGCGGGCCCTGCGCGCACGCGCGCGCGCTTCCCGAGTCCACGCGGCCCCGCCTGGCGCCGCGATCCCCCGGTCGCCCCCAGGGGCGCGAAGATTCGGGATGGGAGGAAACGCACAGACCCCATGAGTCGTCGATCTCTCAGAAAGTATGGGAAGGCATAAGGAGTGGGGGGAAAAGACGAAACCCAAGGAAATGAACCAGACCAGAGTGGGAATTTGGGGACTCGTCTGTGTGTATTTTTTTGTGCGTCCCTTGGGCCCCTTCAGAGAGAACCGCGCGCTCGCTCCTCCTCGCTCCTCCTCCTCCTCCTCCTCCTCCTCCTCCTCCTCCTCCTCCTCCTCCTCCTCCTCCTCCTCCTCCTCCTCCTCCGCGCTCATCCTCGCTCCTCCTCGCTCCTCCTCCTCCTCGCGCCTCCTCCTCCTCCTCCTCGCTCCTCCTCGCTCCTCCTCGCGCCTCCTCCTCCTCCTCCTCCTCGCTCTTCCTCCTCGCGCTCCTCCTCCTCGCTCCTCCTCGCTCCTCCTCCTCGCTCCTCCTGCCCTCCTCCTCCTCCTCCTCCTCCTCCTCCTCCTCCTCCTCCTCCTCCTCACTCCTCCTCGCTCCTCCTCCTCCTCGCGCCTCCTCCTCCTCGCTCCTCCTCCTCCTCCTCCTCCTCCTCCTCCTCCTCCTCCTCCTCCTCCTCCTCCTCCTCCTCCTCCTCCTCCTCCTCCTCCCCCTCCCCCTCCCCCTCCCCTCCCCCTCCTCTCGCTCCTCCTCCTCCCCCTCCTCCCTCCTCCCCTTCCCCCTCCCCCTCCCCCTCGCGCGTGCGCGGCCGCCTCCGCTCCGCGTGGCCGCCGGATCGGGTCACCCAGAGCTGCCCGCGCCGGCCAATGCAAGCAGCGCCGCCACGCAAGCGCTGCACCTGCAAGGTTGCACGCGCGCTGTGGAGCACCCGCATCGCGCCGGGTGCTCTCGCACGGATGTGGGCGACCCCGTCCTACACGTGCGCCCGACGTGCACCTGCATCGCTGCGCCTGCCGACGCTGGAACATGTCTCCAAGAGAAGGGAAAGGTACAGATACCGCCCTTCCCTCGTCGCCGCGGCTGGACTCACCTCGACATTCTTGTCGGAACGCATCCCCCAGAGAGGCCCTGGGAGCAGCCAGCGGTGTCGGTACCGTTTGATTCCCCCAGTCTTGGGCATCCCGCTCTCCCAGAGCACCCGAGGCGGCTCCTATTTTTCGAAGACCCAAAGCGCCATAAACATAAACTTTTGGCGCTCCGCGTAGATTTCTTGGATCCCCCCCTCCCCCCGCGCCTCTGGCGCCGCCCCTGGCGCGCTCCGCAAGCCAGGGGAAGGGGGCCCAGCGCGGATCCAAGAAACCCGCGCGGAGCGCCAAAAGTTTCTGAGTGTGGCGTGTTTCTCCTAGAGTGCAGTTTTTTATACATGCTCCGCGTGCGGACCATTATTAAAAGTAAAGGGCTGATTCATAAATGCAAGGATGAGTCTATGCAATAATTGATTCATACATTAATCATGTATTAAAATTCCCATATTTTTAAAAATCCAATGTATTAAAAACTGCCCTGTCATTTCGGAAGTGCTCGCGGGTTCCCGCAGGCCTTCCACCGTCGGGGTGCTTCCAAGCAGCCGCTCCTCGCCGGGAGCGCCCCGGGGATGCGGAGATCGCCCAGCGTCGGCCAGAGACGTGGCCCGCGATCCAAGCGCCCGGCAGCGCATCACAGAGGGGTGGGCGTGGCGCGCGGGGGGGCGCCCCCTGTCGGGGACCAAGATCTCGAGCCAAAATGGCTACGGATGAGAAGGAGGAGGAGGAGGGAGGAGGAGGAGGAGGAGGAGGAGGAGGAGGAGGAGGGAGGAGGAGGAGGAGGAGGGAGAGGAGGAGGAAGAGGGAGGAAGAGGAGGAGGAGGGGGATGGGGGGATCGGCACAGGGGGGGGACGCATCGACCCCCCGTCGCCCATGGATCTGGACGCCCGAGATGGGTACGGAAAGAACGGGTACGATGCCCAACAGCAGTTCCTGCTCATTTTGAACAGGACTCGCTGTCCGCGCCGCCGCGGCCTGTGTGCATTTGAGACAGGAGGCCGACCGCCCAACAGCGGCCGCTGTTGGTCTGGGGCGACATTTGCTGTTGGGCATTGTACCCATTTTTTCGGTACCCATTTCGGGCGTCCAAAATGGATCGCCGGTAGGGGTCTGATAGTTAGCCCCGGGCTGCCCAGGAACCTGGGGGTCTGCGATTGGAGGCCGAATTATCGCCGACCCATCGGCGACGTGTCGCCGATTCCGGGGCGAGGTTTCCCCCCCGGGGCCCCGTCCCCCCGGTCGTTGCCCCTCCTGCATCCTGAGAGGCCGGGAGGGTTGCTTATAGGTGGCAGGGGCCGTCCCAGAAGTGCCCCCGGGGTGTCCAAGAAGTGTTCTTCGCACGGTGCCATTTTTGATACATGATCCGCGTGCGGATCATGTATTAAAAATGCAGGGAATGAGTATTAAAAACAAGGATGAGTTCATGCATACATTTGTTCATGAATGCATCATGCATTAAACATTTTATATTTTTAAACTAATATATTCATATATATATATAAACAAATAAATAAATATCTTAAAAACTGCCCTGTACCTGGGAGACTTTCTAAGAAGGCCTCTGGTTGCTGAGCAGCCTCCCCCGCTTGCTGGGAGAGGCCGCCCTCCTCGCTTGCCAGGCATCGGGCTGGGCACGGAAGGGGGGGGGATGCCGTGGCCAGGGCAAGGAGCTCTGAGAGGTTTTTCTTTCCACACAGCCCTTGACGACCCCTCGCCCGCGCAGATGGATGCCTCGGGCCACGTGCGCGCACCACCCCCCTTCCCGGCCCCCCCCCCCTTGGGCGTTCTCCCGAGCGTGGGAATCGCTCCACTCCCCAGAGCTGGCACACACACACACACAGCGCCCAATGCATCGACAGCTGCCAAGGAGGGGTCTTGGGCACACCTCTTTCGGGCCGGGCGAAAGGGGGGGATGGGGAAAGGGGGGGTCCGAAATTTGCTGCACGCAGCTGGTTTCGGCCTCACCGAGGGGCCCATATATTCCTCGATCCATAGCCGCCTCCGGCGCCGGGAAAATCAGCTACGTGAGCCGATTCTCAAACCCCTCCTGTGCTATCGCCCGACCCGACTCTGGTGCCCTCGTCACGAGCCGCGGGGAGTGCAGGGTCCTGGTCCTGCGGATCAAGCCGAGCGACGAGCGCAAGGGCGGCTTCGCCATCTTCGAGCGGGAGGACCCCGGCTTGCGCAGGCCTCGTCTGAGCGGGGCCTGGGGCCCTCCTCCTCCTCCTCCTCCTCCTCCTCCTCCTCCTCCACCTCCTCCTCCTCCTCCTCCTCCTCCCTCTTCTCCTCCTCCTCCTCCTCCTCCTCCTCCTCCTCCTCCTCCTCCTCCTCCTTTCCTCCTCCTCCTCCCTCCTTCTCCTCCTCCTCCTCCTCCTCCTCCTCCTCCTCCTCCTCCCTCCTCCTCCTCCTCCTCCTCCTCCTCCTCCTCCTCCTCCTCCTCCTCCTCCTCCTCCTGGGTGGGGTTGGGTGATTGGCGACGCATCGCCGACGCAGCGGCGACTCTGCGCGATCTGGAGCCAGCTCTTCTCCATCACGCCTTTGCCGATGCATTGGCGACTCGCGCGGCGCGATCCTCCGACCCCACTTGCTCCAACGCCATGTTCGGCGGTGCGCCGAGGGGGGAAGTGAGCCAGGCGTGTGCTGGTGATCGCGCTGCCTGCCGCAAGGCCCGCCACTATGCCAGCCACGCTTCCTCGGTGACCTACGCAGGCATCACGGAGGTCTGAGCGTGTGAGATCTTGGATGCCGAGGTCGGGGAGTGCACCGCGTGGGGCACTCTTGGGGGCCCCCTCGGGCTTGCGTGGAGGGAGGGCTGCTGTTGTGGACGACGATCGCTGGAAAGGAAGCACGTTGCCAATTCGTTTCCAGGTGTCTAACACATGTTAAACGTGCCTTAGACGTAAAAACACAACACCTGTGTAAGGCATGTTTTTTTTTTTTGTAACATTCCCCACACATTCTAAACACATGCTTCATTCAAGGATCGGGCTTTTAGGCTGTCCATTGTCATTCAGGAGGGAAAAAACACAGACACAAGTAATCGTCGATTCCCTCGGAAATATGCGAGGTGGGGGGGAAATCAGCAAGAAATATGGAAATATGTGGAGTCCTGTTATTTGTGTGTCTATTCAT